TCTTCACACTGCTGCTGTGTACAGTGTGCAGTGTTACTGATGATATTACTAGGTATATGTGCGCTTTTCTCTTTTTTTCAATGCTTATTATTCTGAACTGCGGATAATGGAAGAGAAGAGGTGTTTCAGTGAACAGGTCAGCTCAAAGTTACATCATTCTAAACTCTTTATCATCTCCTCACAGAGGAAAAAGCATTTCATAAAAGTGTGCACTCTATGAGAGGATTTTTGGGAAACTACTATAAAACAGCTGCATGCACATGGTTGTGTTTGTGTGCTGCAGATCAATTCTAATACGAATAATAATTCTGCAGCCTTATAAAAAAATGCCACAGATTATTATTTATTCTTTTAGCATCTCAACACAATTTGTAGTCTTTTAATTAAGCGGTTGAAAATATTTTTGCATATGTCTTTTACGCAAGACGATTGCTACAGGACATGTATGTTGATTGATTGTAGTTAGGTGGACAAGTCCCATTAACTTTGCTAATAATGAACTATTCTTCAGTCTTCCTTTAAAATTACTCTTAGGAAAATCTCATTAACTTCAACGAAGACGGTGGAAGGCGTCCAAAGCAACCCTGAACTGCCCTGCGATTCCCCTTTGCGTGCTTCGAAATCTTAAAACCTCCCACGCAATCCCAGACTGCTTTGCTCTTGATCAGAGGTCCAGTGTTATTAAGAGAGCATGTAACTATAATAAAGGAGGTCCTGTTACAATTAGTTAGGGAAGTTGTCCTTTTTCCACCGCTACCATTGTAGATCGGACGATTGGGACATGAGAACATCGGCTCTGACCTCTGTCCGGCAGTAATGATCACGCCTTGACCCCAAGCTTTTTTGTCTAAGTGATGATGACCCTTGCATTTGTTGAGACATGACTAAGCAAGAAATAATGCAGATGCTTGGGTGATATGATGTACAACACACCACTTGTACGATTAGTCACAGGATGGTTAAACAGTTTCACTAACCCATGGATCCCCTGTTTAAACTTCCTCTCCATGGACTGTAGGACTCTTTAAACCCCCAGCTGCACTTTCAAACATCATATCCCGGTATGCATGCATGGGAACTTGTCCTTTTCCCCCTGCAGTTCCCCCTCCTTACATCCCCCCATCCACTTCCTGCTATCTACAGGGCCAATCTAAAGCTGCGCTATTACGAGTCCTGTACTTGGTGTGTTGGCGGCCGATTTAGAACATCAACACCATCAATCAACCCGCCAATGGGGCCAACCAGCTGGCTGAACCGTCCTGTCCCACTGCCGGACAATTTGTCATCCGACGAGGCCAAGTTGCGTTCATGTAACTACACCCAAACCTTTCTTCTTTCTTCACTGCCCTTGCTAAAAACCTCTTTTGATGACTTTTTGACTCGCCCTTTCAACTACTTCCTTGAAGCCTCGGCATCTTAACTCACAAAAGCCTCTTTACCAAAAACTTCACAATTGTTTTCGTTCTGTTGCTCCATAAAAGGCTGATAATCACATGTAGACGAGCTTACTTGGGTTTCTCTTAAATGAAGGTTTTGTTTCTTTTCACAGCTTGTTTTATTTACAGTTTTTTGCCATTTCTTGTGCTGGAAAAATAAGCTGCGCAATTGCCATTACAAATATTTCCCCTTTGACTTTATGTGGTTCGCTGAGGTAGGTTATTATCCACCAAAATATATGACCGACAAATAAACAAACAAATAAACATCCAATGGAGAAACCATGAGTCATTGTTCTATAAACATTGGTTATGGCTATAAACTATGCACATATTAGATTTTATGCATGTTTCCTGTTGACTTGAGCGATAATAATAGAGTAGAACAGACTTTATGTGATCATAAAATCCATAGACATGGTCCATATCAAGGAGGGCTTTCCCCAAAATAATAAGAACGGAATCAAGATTTATACCATATTGAATGTCATCAACTCATATGCAAAAAAGGAGACACTTTTCGGGTTGAATGACTGTTCATTATCATAGGAAATCTGAACTAGCAGCTATACATGCCACAAATGGCTTTTATAAATTCCCTGTAACAATGATGTCATAGATTCCTCTTCACTTTATAGCTCCTAACACACACACTTCCACACACACACACACACTTCCACACACACTCTGCCCCTCTTAATTGCTCAGTGTTCACTGCTTTGCCTTATTACTTGGTCGCTCTCTCCGGGCCAGCTGAGAGGCCCCTGGGGGCACTGTGGGGGCCTTAGAGTTGTCCAAACAACCCCAAATGAAGGTCTGGGGAAGTTCCTTGCTCTTTTGTCTCTGCCGGGGAAACAAGTGCAGCACAGTGCGCAGACTTGGGAGTGTGTCTGCCGGGGTCATGATATGGCTGCTCGGCAGTCCCTCACAGTCACGCTACCATTTCTCCCCTCAGCACCCCACTGCCCTGGCCAGCCAGACAGCGGCCCCAGCTGCAAGACTGGCTGCCCTCTGCGAGTTCAATCAGCCAAGGTCACCAACAATCACCCAGTGATGATGCACATCTGTGTCTGTGTGTGCGGGCAGGAAGGTATCAAGCAGCACGCCTCATCTGAATACTTTTAATGAAATGGCAATTTATCTCCACTAGATTAGATTCAACTTTATTGTTATGGCACAGAGTACAAGTACTAAGACGACGAAATGCAGTTCACTACAGACAAGAAACTACATGCAACTGTGCACATACACAACACCAATCATGCTGTTTCCATCTGCAGGGAGCTGTGTTAAATTCAGATGATCAACTTTCAAGTGTGTGCAAAGGATTAACAAGAGTCTGCAGCAAATCACTGGCGACACTCCAAGATGTCGGAGTGAAAATGATTTCTGCTAAACAGAACCATGCACCAAAACATTGGCTGCTTTTTACATGGTCGCACGCAACTTTATTTGCCTGTAAATAATTTTCCAACATCCCATTCAAGAACTGGAGCGTTTGATTTTGGTTTTATGAGAGTATGTTTTACAAAAGCTCCATGGGCCAAGAGAAACTGTACCTGGCAGTCATGCTGAAAAAGGCTTTCCTCACCTTCTCTCCGTATTAATGAGCGCAGAAACAGCGCCGACCCAAAGCCAAAGTCGATTACAGTGCGAGGCAGTTGCCAAATATATTACATGGCAAACAATGGTGCTATAAATGCTGCTGAACTGAATTCCATCACACTCAACAGAGACTGCTTACAACAATTGATATGTACAAATTCAATAGGATAATTTATAACAACATTATGAAAACATTTCTGGCATTGTGAGGAATGTGGTAGATTGGAATTTAATGACATACAGCCAGTTGCAGCTTGTGTGGTGTTCTTTGGATACATGGAAGAAGAATGTGTTTAGGGGCATGGGGGAGCGATTGGAGTGAAATTATAACAAGCATAAATTGGACCCTTGGCATTGACCTTTCTTTGAAAAGTCTTAATGACAAATCACCACTTTCCCTTTCACCTCCAAGTGTTTCATCTGGGCTCTACCCAGGGTGCTTTGCTCCGATCCTGAGCACCACAGCATTGGCCGAGCAACTTAAGCTGTGCTCATGGTCATCCAAAACATTTTTGGTTTTATACTTGCATGGACTTAACTGATGTTTACCATTAAATGGCAAAGTATGTAGGAACTGTTGTGTTGTTTCATGTTGTGAGGATTGATCTGCATCATTAAAACCCTTGCAAAATATATGGATTAAATGATAAATCATGCATGTCGCAAACAACTAGTGTGTAAGTGAGAACCAGACTAAGGAAACATTCAATTAGTCCTACATATTTGGAGTAAAGCCTTTCTTTTATGCTTAATTTAAAATGTTTATTTTCAGTTTTCTCCTTGAAACTTGTGAAATTGACAATGAACACACTGTGCATCTTTGTTTAAAAATGCATTGAAGGGGAAGAAACAATTTAGAAACATTAATGACTTTACCAAAGGGGGGGTGTTGAATGTCTACTCTTGCATATCGTCCTCTCTGTTTTATCATTAACTTTCCCCAGTACGAATAAGAATACCTGTGAGGAGATTTTAATTTACATAAAAAGGGGTTAACAAGGACTGAAAATACTTAATTAAAATGTTAAGACTTTATTTTTTTCTTACTCTGTGGACAAAGTTGGATAGTTAACATGCTAATTCAAACAACAAAGGATGGTAGTTTGTTTTGATAAAGCACTAATAATTACATATTTGTACCTGACCAGGCTGAACAAACACACAACCCTCGACCTCATTGCAGAAGAGAGGATTGTGTCCCATTCACAACCTGAAACCAGTCAGACCTGCAGACCTGACTGATGGATGCCAAAGCTAAATCCAAGCCCAGGTGACCACCAGCGGTCCCTGTCTGCAGCCCTCGTCATGAGGGTCTAACTACTTAATAAGTGGCTGTCCCAGGTTTCCTGGACATAGTCCAGACCCACAGAGGCCCCCTTCGAACGGACGCCCAAAAGCATAAGGAGGGCTTCATTTATCAATCAGACCAATCACAGACTTTTCCGGGGCTAGGAACGGCCACATGTTGGGGATTAAGCTCACGGAATTCAGCACAACCAAATTGTGGAGGGTTAGTCAGTGAGAGATTATGGCAAATCAACAATGAAAAGAGTTGGATTACACTACAGTTGCAGCTGGATCAATGTGCTGTGGGTATCACCTATCAATGTAGATTCAATGCACAGCAGCAACTGCAGCTACACATTTAGGATAAGGCTAAATGCTAAACTACTGTTTGTATTGTCTCGTCTGTGCAGAGCAGAAAGGTATAGATACTTGCATGTTACAGCTTTGCCATTATTAGGAGTTCTCTATAATGACTAAATGCGAGAGTTCACATACAAATGACCATCCCTAAATGTTACAGTAGCATCGAAAAGCAAACAAGAGTAATAAGTCAGCAGACTGATCTTCAACAACATTCACTACCATATGATACTGGTCAAACCAGACCAAATAAGGCTTGAATAGAGAGCATTGAATTGAGCAATGTTGCAATTTATTGAAAACAGCTTTTAATTTGTAAAAGGAAGAGTATGTTTTCCTTTTAAAGTCACATACTCTGGCTTTAAGGTCTATAGGCTTGTATGCAATGTCGACATATAGATCTGGCAACATAATTTCCAAACTTATTTGCAGTTGAACATGTGTTGACAGTCAATAACCATGGCACCACATCCCTAGCATCACAACTCACATGTCAAAGTGAGTGTGACATCACTGCATCACAAATAAGGTTCATCTGAAAGTTTCAGAGTGGATAATTATTGTTCCCGAGCCATCCAACGAGCTGTGCAACTGATTCAGAAGCCGGGGGAGAGAAGTGAGCCGTCACCGTCACCTCTGGCATGTTGTGTCACTCCTGCTCATTTCCATCTCTGCACACAGACGACGGACGAGGCTCTGACAGGTGTCAGAGAGGAGCAGAGCAGGTCTTGTCACTCAGTCACTGAACACACGGGGGGGATACACACACTTTGATATACCATGACTATAACTAGAGAGAGGGGGAGGTGTTTCTGTTTCTGCGTGCAGTATATAGAAATAGAAAATGACTGGGGACAGGAAAAAAAGGAGAAAACAGGAGGAAAGAGACACATGGGTAATGATACATATGGAGGATACAACCAATATGTAATAATTCTCTTAAAAATATCAAGCCGACACAAAAAAGTATAAAGTGTGGTAAAGGGAAGGCATATTTGAACGGCACATTGGGAGAAAGCAACATATTTTTCAAGCAAAAACGTAAGAAAGGTAACCAGCATGTTTCATGGACATGTGACTTGTGTCATCTCTCACAAAGCCCTTTTGTAGAGCCGATCTTTGGACATGTCAAAGCACAATAGATGCACTTTAGGCCTACGTTAGCAGAGGCTCAATAGGAACATGTATCTTTTCACCTTTTAGTCCTAAATACAGAAAATGTTAACCATATTACAATTTTTTTAATTTTCAACAGGAATCATAGAGCTCAGTCAATTGGATATATGTGCTGTGTAATATTTTATATCTGTTGGTTCCATTATTTAATTTACCTGTAATTTATTTGAAGCACTCAATGAAAGTATGTGTCAAATCACCATGCACAATTGCCAAAGAAATTAACAATGATTTTACAAAGAGGACAGCTTAAGCTAATGACTTTGTGTCAGCATGAAGATAGACTTTGCAGATAATGGGTACTTCCAATAAGAGTGCTTTTCATAGAGGGGGTTGTCACCTATGGTAAGAGTGTGTGAGTGCTTTTCATGTACAGTATAGGTCCATGGCATTGGACCATGGACACAGAGGTAGCACACTATTAGCGCACATTACTGGAAATAAATTAGCATGTAATTTAATAATTTTATTAAATGATATTTTGGGGGTCTAAAAGTACAGCTGCTACAATTGTGAGTGAAGTGTTGAGCGGCAGGATTATCATGCATTTATGCAAAGTTAAATCTAAAATGGTTTCTAAAAAGCCTGTGAGTTGAATTTGTACCATCTCAGTGTTGGTAACAATATTAAACAGAACTTGAAAATAACTATTTGGAGTCATATGGTGTTTATTTCAACCCTATATAGACAGTCTAGCTCCACCAATAGAGGTGTCATTGTTCCTCAACTCTAGATTTCAACTAGGGGCTCAGGCAAAATGGAGCTAGACCCCCCATATTTCATTTCTCCCTCGCTGATAGCATTTATCAGCAGTTTCCTGATAAAAACAAAATATGCAACTTAAGCCCGAGCAGGGCTAAGCCGCCGAGGTGGACAGGATTACCTGGAGGCTAGCCGGCACAGGCATCAGATTGTACTGTCATAAAGGGCCATTAGCCTCTTGGCAAACTGTACCTCAAGCCCAAGATGACAGAGCTTTTCAAGACGGACAGGGGGAAAATATGAAACTTAAATACGTCATGACAGACATCTCAATGAATAGGACCCCCAGAAAAAAGTCTCTGCGATGCAAAACAAAAATAAAAATATATTTTTTTATGTTAATTTGACACATATGGGAATTGTATTACCAAGTTTGAAATAATCCATTTGCAATGTTCTCCAGTGGATGTATGTATGTATATGAAAAGAGGGACTGGGTTTCCACACAACACACAATGGAGTAGACTTACTGACTGGCTGGGATTAAATTTAATACAGGATCTTGACAGACATATCCTGGAAGCCTATCGCTCTCTCTGCAGATTTCCTAGGAGCGAAGCTTACATGTTTTTTCTTGGATTTGCCTCATTAATTGGCTGGTTAAGTCCCCTTAATACACGATGATCACTTTCTTGTATGTCTTAAGGCATTTCTTTGAGCTCATATTTCCTGTTACTTTCTTGTCTTAATACTTCACAGCTTTGACAACTAAATTAAGCTTTCTAAGGTATGCACATGCTCAGTTTTGTGCGGCAACAAAGTAGGAAGCCTCCATTTTGTGGCAGGGAAAAAGAAGATGGGAAGTTTAATTGTTGGTACGGGGTTTTTAGACAAAGTGTCCACAGGTAGAGCGAGTATACGGCTAGATAGCCTGCATTCTTCCAATGTATTGTCACTTTCTGACTAGTGGAAGAAGAGGTCTTGTGTGTTATCTCTTGGAGGTGATCTGGATTATTTGGTGGCACAAACACAGACACACACACACACTTAGGTCATTTATTTTAAATATCCACCCATTTCCATCCATCCACCTCTAACTGTGCAGCGCCTCAAGGCCATATCATGAGCCTGTGATAAAGAGCCAGGCAGTAGTTGTGGGGGGGTGATGGAGGGGGGGGGGGGGGGGTAGATTGTCAGACAGGCCAGGCAGGCTTCAGATGGAGTCTTCCTCTGTCTGCCCTGTCTGTCTCTCTCAGTGTACTTACAGCGGCTGCCGACCTGTCCTTTCCCAGAGGGCTTTGTGAAAGGACAGAAATGTGATGCTGCTACTCAGACGTAAGTTGCAGTGGAGTCTGTCTGCGGTGGCCATGTTGTATCTCCCTTATGTGACCCCCACACCCCCTCCCTATTTTACCTGAGCAGAGACTCCAGGCGCCAGGCGCGGTGTAACTGCAGTCTCAGGTATGCTGGGCGGACGCAGGAGCCACTTCCCAGGACTTCACCTGCGCCTGGGACTGAGTGACAAGGGAAACAGAATCAGGAAGACTATTATTCATAATCAACTCTACCTGAAGATGTAAATTAAATTACCTCTCTGTCATTTTATAGCTGATAAAAACTTTATCACAACCATCCTTTTAATCCTATAGTCTCTTAAACAAAATTATTTGGTTAGAAATAAGGCCTTGGTTGCAGCTATTTTCTAAATCGATTTATAACTTTTCAGGCTAAATATACGCACAGCAACAAAATACATTTAAACTCATCAAGGTAGGTATATTATAGGTATTATATTTCCCGATTTTAAAACTCAAACAATTGGCAATTTAGTTAGAAAATAACTGTTTTTTGCAGCCTTAACAGTATTAATGTATTAATTAAAATTAACATTCATTCAGAAATGTTACTTTATTTATTCTGATTTGTTTGCAGACATGTTTTAAATATTCTGTAATTACTTAAACCTGTTGTTTTGAGCATGCATATATGCCTAATTGGAATCAGAACATTTAAACACAGTGGCATTGACTTCCTGCACTCTTTATCCATGTATGTTCCTCTTTCCTCCGAATGTTGTGGCATTGTCATGTGTAAAGGCTTAGGATGATTACAAAATAATTTGAAAATAGAATAAGTACGTAGAGCCTAAGTTGAGGTTTGCTCCATCTGTCAACATATGACAGCTGCAGAGCAATTTTCATTGTGGTGCGAGTGGTTTTGTGGTAAATGTGCGCTCTCATTTATCTAAAATACATCCTAAGCTGTGGCTGCCGCTTCATTATTTGAGCAGGCCGCATGAGTTACAATGTGCATTTGTTCCTAAACGAAAGATCTTTGCCGAAATTTGACTGACTTGTGTGCATATGTTTTGAGGAAAGAGAATTGTACAAGGCTTTTGTGGTGGTGAGGGAGAGAGAGTGTGTGTTTGGGAGCGATTGCAATATACAATGAAACACTTTGGGGGGGCAGTAAGAAATAGTTTTCTGTTTTAGTATCATAAGCTTTGCTCTTTAAATGTCAACCCACTTTTATTGAAAACCATTAAAGCATCATAATAACGCATAAGAAAACAAATGCATGCTTTACAGTAGCCCTATTTTTATCTGCATGCTTTTTATATCATCTTTATCCAATAGAAGGAAAGTCATAAACAACACAAATGTAGTACAAGCCAAGAGAGTCCAAATGATATTAAATCCATTAAATCCATTTATGCAAGATGTTTTAAAGTTCACATCAAATCAAATTCATCTAAAAATATTTTACGCCTTTTTGCTCTTCACATTTTTAATTAAGGTGCCACGCTGTTATGAGTTTGACATGAAATGATGAAAGTAGAGCCAGTCCATTAAGATCTGTGCATATTGAAATTACTCAGAATAATCTGAAACTTAATTATGTAAGAAATATCCATTTCCACCTGATAAACCAAAAGACAACATTACATCAATGACACCCATCTGCACATTCGTTTCCACTTTGCTAGCGCTAAAATTAAAAAAAAGAGGGGAAAAGGAGAATCTTATTTTATTAATTGAAACACATCTTATGTACCTGCTAAATTAGCTGATGCTACACTATGTAGCAGCATAGGCTACCTATTGAAATTCCAATGACACCACAACTATGTGGACTATACATTTTACAAATACTCATGCAATATGTCACAACAATAGACACCATTGACTTCTGTTTCACTCTGTTTAAACTGTGTCAGGCTACTGACTTATTTAACTATTGAATAGATACAAGTAACTTTGTCTTTGCAATACACTGATCAAGCTAGGAACATTGATTATTTTAGACAAAAAAATGTAAAGGTCTTAATGCTAACATAGGTCTAAATGTCAGCTTTTATAACCAAAACACATTAAAAAGTCATTTCTACGCCATGTTCATTTTTAATAACTAATGGTTCATGTATTTATCTCAACTAGGTAAGACTTCTGTATTGCCCTCCACCATTTTATCAACTTGTGTCTGACAACTTACAGTATTTGTGTCTGTCTTTGTTAATGCTCTCTGTGCAGGGAATGCGTTATTTTTTACTAAGTCAGGGTAGGTGCACATGCATATTAAAGTACATGACATTTTAATTGTAGTTTTAATGAAATATGGTGAAAAAATACAACAGAATGCTTACCTTCTCATGCCTTGCCGTAAAGCATGGTGAGTTGCTGCGCTCTCCTGCGCAGCCGCAGTCTGGACACGCTCGAGCTTCTTCTTCCTCACACAGAGAGCCGCTCGTTAACAGAAACACACCGTCAACACTGCTAACATGTCAGACAAGAAACAGACCGTGGACCTGGGCTTACTGGAGGAGGATGATGAGTTTGAAGAATTCCCAGCCGAGGGTAAGTTTATAATGATAATATTCTAAATCATGATTGTTTTGTTTTCTCTTTTACTGGCCATGTGTATCTGTTATTGCTCGCTGCTGGGCCCTGCAACAGTGACTCAGCTAGCCTAGCCATGTTAGCATTAGCTAGCCGGTAGCTAACTTTCTTGTTATACGCAACACAGTCATAACACGTATCTTACTTATACGTTTAGTGAATTTGTCGACACATAGAGCTCACTGTCCTCCTACCTTACAGTCATTGTGCTTCTATTATTTAACATTCACTTGTGTTATTCAGCTAGAGTCTATGCATTAGCTCCATTGCTCAAGGCAATGCTAACTAGCAAGAGTTAGCCGTTCAGGTAAACAGTGAGCCAAAGCTAGTGATGTGGACGTTTTACTCTCAATAGCACCTATGTGGTTTTTAAATACTTTTTTGTCTACAATTGAGGGTTTGTCATCAGTACTATGTTTTTAATGTCCTACTCTATAATTCCTAGATTGGACCGGGCTGGAGGAAGATGAAGATGCTCATGTTTGGGAAGACAACTGGGATGATGACAACGTAGAGGATGATTTCTCCAATCAATTGAGGTAAAATACATTTCACAATGTTTAGCTCACATCCCCTCATAGATTGTCAGTTGTATCTAGAACAGCAGGTCGGAAAAACAAAATGTCATGCTACACAGGGTTACATAACCAAAGGTAGCTGTAGCCTAGCCCTACACAATATACTCGAAAAACATGACAACACAGAACAGCAAAACTACAGCAGCAACAGTGTGAAGGGCACCTTCTGATATTGCAATAGGAGAGATGTAAACAGACAAAAACAATTGCGAGTTTCTTGCCATCTCTCTAAAGACCGCAACATACAGAAGGCATGCAGGTCTATGTGGAAGTTAGGATTTAATTTACTTCAGGTGTATTTCTTGGTAAAGATCTGTTTCATCTATTTTCTAATGGGAAATTAAAACATTTCATATAAAGATGGTTATACTGCAATTCTTTAGACATCATTTACTTAACATTTTCCATTAAAGAATTTAAGAATTTAAGTTCTTAAGGGGAAATAATTTGAATCTGCAAAAAAAGGCAGGTCAGAATCTGTCAGAAGAATTGCAATCTCTAGTTTAAAAAGTTTCTTACTGCAGATTTCTCTTTGAACATTATTCGTCGTTAATCAAATCCATGCAGCTTCAATTTGGAAATAGCATGAAACAAATGGTGTGTTTGCACTCTCTGTGTCTTACTTGGCAGTCAACACGCAGCTCCTCCTTAAATCTTAGGTAGTTAGTCGACGGCTGCATGTTTCACTTGTATCTGAAGTTGAGCTATAAACACCTTGAAACACACATCAAAGTTATCATGAGATCCGTCATGTTTACACTCACATTTATTGGATAATCAATAACTGTTGATGGATAAGTGGCTGCTCTGTTTTTTATTTGAGTACTCTTTAAACCGTAATATGCTGTTGTTTTATGTTGGCCAATTATGATTCTATTAGGCTGTTTCTTAAAGATATCATTACAGTTAAAGGGCACAGCTGCCATATACATATATATGTAATCATCAAATCTATAGCTGCACACATTATGCAATATTTCTATATTTTTTCACTCCCATCTCTTAATGGTTCTTACAATCAATAGCAGAGGGTACTTATGCCTCCACCGCCCACCTGTAATCATCTGACTTGATCTTTCTGTTTTTCTTTTACTCCCTGCAGAGCGGAGCTGGAAAAACATGGTTACAAGATGGAGACATCTTAGAGGCTGACGAGCCTTTGAGTCTACGATGACATTGGATATGGACATTTATATTTGATTATTACTGGTCGACCCCACACTACCGGAAGACCGTTGATGATGTTAATTTGTTTCTTTTTTTTGTAAGAAATGCTGATGGAAGTAAAGTGTTTGGAGAAATAAGTTCCCTTTCAGTGTTTTTACTTATCGTTCATGACATTTATAGTTTAGCTTATTTTATCATATATTTAAGTTATTAAAATTGATTCTGATCTGGTGCTGCACTGGTCTAATATGGAAAAACTGAATTCCATTTCTTTAGCAATCACAGAAACATTGCTGGAAAATAATATCGGTAAATTAATACCCAATAAATGCTTTCATACTTACATTTCATGGCGCATTACTAATGGCTAAATGTAACTGATGCTGGAATGGTTATTACCAGAAAATCAAGCCTTCGTCCTCCCGTTTCACCTCATGTTTCCTTGCACTGCTCTTTTTCTTTGAAGTAGAAACTAAATCCATCCATGCAGTTATTAGTTTCTGTATGAAAGATGTCTCATGGTTTGGCTTAAATATCTATCAAGAGCTGTTGATCTCCGAAGCACACCTGCCAAGTCAACACGGTCTACCTGTAATGGACGGCTTGTTATTGCCCTCTGACACAATGTGCATTTATTTTGAACTGCATTAATTTTGCATGATTTTACTCGAGTTCAAGCTCACATCATAATTCATCAGAGATATTTGTGATTATTTTGTAGCAACCATACTTTTATATTAGGCTCTGTTTATTAAAACTGTCAAAGGGATGTCAGCGTGACAGAGGAAGAGTGTACACAGGGGGAAATGGAGATGTACATAATCTGTGTGCAGTGGAAGTACACACAATGCAAACAAGTGTGTGTGAGTGTGTTTGTGGTGCCTGATCGTCACACAGAGGCAGTTCCTGTATAACAGACCCCTTCCCTTCTCAGCCCCACAGCGCTGGGCCGAGTCCCTGAAGGAGAGATTATCCACTGCCGTATTTGTCAGAGGCGGGGAGGGGGTCTCAGCATGGGGCCCCCAGCCTGCCTTGCCTGGGCCTGCCCCTACTGCCAGCCAGGCCCTTCTCTTCCGCTTTGCACAGCGGGGACTCTCGTACTGAACCAGAGGCCAATTTATCCCCGCCACACTCCCCCGGCAAAATGATTTCTCTCAGTGTTTTGTCGACTCTCAGTCCCAGGGTCCTAATGAGCTGAAATAGATGCCAGTAAGACGGAGGCAGCAAGAGCCGCTTTCATGCTGAAAACAACATTCATCCTCTGCCTCGAGAAGTGCAAAGTTGACTAAATACATTCTCTCTGGTATTATATTTACTTAGTTTTTGTAATTCTATTAATTGAAAATGTATTTTTTCCATGTAGTAACAAATTCTTTTGAGTTTATTTTCAGAACACACGATCAGAAAGTCATGCTGTGTGTTCATACACTGCGGGAAATCAAAGTCAAGTCTGTAATCAAGTAAAAATGTAATAAATACTGTATATAGAATGAGAGACTTTAAACCTTTAAAATACAATCAACCTATTCCTGGGAATTTTTTGAAATTGCGCGTCCCTTTTTTGAACCAAGAAAAACATAATCTTGATGCAACCAAAATTCTTCAAACAATAACACAAATGACAAATGTATTCAGTGTGTGAAGATTGTTTTACCAGCAACTACTTCCATAAGAAAAGCCTTCATCATCCAGTATACAGTGCTGTGAATGAAGCCACGCTCTGCTTCTGCTTATCCTTCATTACATCCTGTTTCTGAAGGCTTCAACACTCGGGTGATACACCAGATTCTACATTACAGGTCTTATAAACTGTTGATGCAACAAAAGTGTAATGGTTTTTATGACATGTTATAATCAAAGACGTTAAATCAATTAAAGTTTGACTGTAAGAGGGCTTTATTATATTGAAGCCACATTTCAAATAATCTCCTCGCCACTGCCTTCTGCCTGTGGGTGGCCTCTCCTAGTAGTTTTTCTTTGTTTCCTCTTATGGTCTGATTAACCCGCACAATTTACTGTTTTGCATCAGTATACATTTGGAAAGAGTTATTCTGCACTTCAAAGTGTTGCACTCAGATTTTGGCATTAAAGGCTGGAAAAGGTGGAAATCTGCTTGCTCAGGTCAAGCGTTTAACTGTTGGCTACTGAAAGCAGGATGACAAGCATCTGACAGTCTCTCATTCTCTTCTGGAAAAATGCAAAAAATCCTTGTTTACTACTAGTTATTATCTCAATCAGCTGCATTTCACAGCCAAACAGCTCTCCTGGGCCCATATTATGATTGAAAAGACAATGCTCCAGCTGCTGCTGATATACATGTCAATAAAGAAAACATATTTTGTTGACAAGGGCTGCGGGAAATCGAGCAAGGTCACATGCTCATGAAGTGAACTAAAAGAGCTCTGACTCCAACATAGGTGATCCTCAGATCTGTTTATGCCCTTGAAACTAAGGGCCCTGGGCCAGATGATTATTCTAAGTGTTGGGAAGTCGGTGAAGTGAGAGAATCGGTAAGTGAGAGCAACAGAGGAGGACCTGTGACCATTTTGTTTGTGCTGAGAGCATGAGATTGGTCCCTTGTGTTTGACGCCATGAGGGCCTCGATGGGCCCTCAGATTTCAACCTCACACAGGACGCCAGCTTTTCAGTTTCTCTGCACTAGTTCTTCTTTGATCCCATTTAATCGTTTCTTTAATTTGTGCAAGCATTTTTGTTGTTCCTTTGTGACCCACATGATTCCCCATGACATGTTCGAAGAGACTCCCTGAGGCTCATATTGACTTACAGACACCTGAAGAACAATCTGCCAATAACATGATTGAAGGCTTTTGTTGTTAACATTTTAAACAATGGATAACTTTTTTTAAAAGAGTTGTCTTTGTGTTAGCGTTGGCAATGTTTAGTCTTCATACAGTAATACAAGCCGAGTGTATTACTTTCAACTCATTACATTCGGGGTCAGTCTATATGGTAACTACTGGATGCCGCAAATCCTATAAACAGATTCTGCTCTTTATGTGAGACTAGATTTTTCAAAAAGCATTTTCTTATTTGCAAATCGTTTTCCCCCCGGCCCACGCAGTTCTGAGACCACATGACTCCATGCGAGAGAGCAGCCAATGGAACTGTGGCGAAGACAATTTCATAACACTTCATGTTGGGAGATGGCAGATCCATTGTTCTCAAGGCCCACAGGCTTGTGGGCGAGAGTCCCTGCTGTGTCTACACTGAGGGAACACACCAGCCTCCCAGGCTATATTTGCCTCTTTCCTGCAGACACTGGAAGCTACTGTGACCATTCGAACTCTCCTCCCCGCTGCAGGCCCTGCTCTCTCTGCTTCTCCCCTCTCCAATCCCTTCACCACTGAGCCAGGGAAAAGACGAAGCTGTCTCTGCACAGCTAGGAAGCATGCAGCTGCTACTATAATAGCTGTAATTGCACATTTCTTTTGTTGGGAGGAAATTAGCGGCAGGGCTACAATAGTGCTAAAACCCCCCAAAACCTCCAAGTAAAGATGGAGGGGAGAGAGTTAAAAAAAAAAAAAAAAAAGACACTCGGGGTGCGTTCACCACTGAGACTGCCAACCCACTGCCGAATGGCCCACACCTGCACGCTCGCACCCCCGCTAAAGTAAACACAGATAATAAGGTATAATTACTTTAGAAAATAATAACGAGAAGCAACCCTTCAGACCCCCCTTCTCTCGTCGACAAAGGGCTGCCTGTTTATTGTGGGGGGTGAGACAGCCCCAAAGGACGCTGGCGAATGCCCCATCAAAAGACCTGAGGGCCCTACTGAGGGTCCCTTATAGGACAGCCATCATTGTCAAGGAGGACTGGGGCTTTTAAGTCGCTTCTACCCTAACTGCCTCAATTAACCAGTATGGATTGACCACAGGCTACTTTTCCAGCTCCATTCATCCTCATCAAAATGATCCTGTGTTGTTTTGAATGGTTCTCCCCTTTCTATTTTCTAAGACGAAATCCAGAATATGCATCATAAAAAAACGTACCTATAATATCATGTGGAAGTGAAGTAAACATAATAATAGATAGTCTTTTTTTTAAAAGGGTCAGAATAAAAGGATATTATGCCTGAAGCTTTGGATATAACATGTTGTATCTTATAATTTTATTGACGCTTTTTTAAGTATTAATAATGTTGATTTCTCAGATTATGACGTTTAAAGTAATGCATCATTGCTATCTTCCCATCAAGGACAACAATAGAAAAAAGAAGGGCACTCAGGACATTAGCAATGGCCATTTCCATAAGAAAAGTGTCTTAAGGCCAAATGACCTTATGATCTGCTCCAATATTGAATATGTTCTTCACTGACCCATGCTACTCCATTCCACCAAGTTTCATTACAAACCTGTCCAGTAGTTCTTTCACAATCCTGCTGACAGTAACAACAACAAACCACCTAGCTACACAGATACAATATCTTGGTTTTATTTCACGCTATGCTGGGAAAACATTTGTATTTGAGTCATCACAGCTCAGCTAAAAAATGAGGATAAAGCCATATGAACATGTGGACATGACACTGGATATTTAAGACAGTATGGGATCACGCTGCAGTATCACTGCCACTTAAACCTGACTGGATTTTAACCCAATGTGACATGTTGGCACACAAAAAGAAACAGATGGGTATGTTTCAGTTTAACGCCATCCCTGGTGGTTGAGTCACTATGAAAACACAAGGCTTTGGTTTGATGTCAGGATGGATTATGAGTGCCAAATTTCAGGCGTGCAGTTTATGACATGATCCGTCTCGCAGGTCTTTGACACGTAAATGCATAATTTCACGTGGGTAAAAAAACTGAAAATGTATATACTTTGTACTGCCCTGCAAAGCATAAACTATATATTGGATAAATTGAGTTTAGACCAGAGCAAAAATAAATATCATGCGATGGTCATGTGTTATGTTTTTGGGAAAAATATAATCAAAATGTGTAAAAACATTGAAGTGGACCTTTGTACCCATTTTCATCTGTGGTGCCTGGGCAGATACAGCACATGTAAAAGCATGAATTGATATGCAACACCATAACAAAGTCTCCATCTCAAAAACAATCACACAGACCAATCTACATGCAGACATCAACATATGAATACAACCACATT